TGCGCCCATTTTGACCGCACAGGTTTCTTTTCAATTTTTCGAGATTTTCTTCGTGGCTACATTAACCTAATTCCAAAGTTATGTAGCTAAAAGTGCCAGGTTCGAGAAGATATGGTAGCCAGCAGCCTTAGCCCCTTTGCTTTCGTGCCATTGCCCTATATGTCTTCACGTTTTTGAATGAGATGACCAAATAGGTTTCTGGGCAGCATGAAGTTTTGATGGAGCCTTGTGATATGGTCATACTATTTATTAAGCACTGGTTAGGTATGCCAGGTATGCTACGGTATTGCACTAGGTATTGGCTTTTTCGCGCTCTTCGAAACACAGATCTCTGTCGCCGAAATGCGAGATGTGCATGGGGTTGAATGAGAAGCTGCTAGTCAAACTTGTTCATTACCTAATTTATTCAGCGTCTCGCAACTCAGCTTAGCCTTTTTAACAAGTGCCTCATTGCTATGAACAGGAGCACCGCAGAAGATGGAAGGGCTAAATAGCACATGAAGTTTCTGAAGATTCAAGTCCAGCTGAGGCCATTTAAATACGCATTCCGCGAGCAATTGGTAGGTAAAATCTCTTCTCGCAGCCTCAGACCGTTTATCTCGTAGCGGTTTCTGGAGTCCGGTAGATGGTTAGAGTTGGGGTGGCACCTTGCCAACGCCCACACCCCACTGAAACTCCCCAGAGACTTTAGTGATAACAACTGCAGCACCTTCCACTGTGCCATTTGTATCTTTTGCTTCTTTCCAAACAAGGAGAAGGCGAACGTTTGCTTTTTGTAGGTCCGACCACTAGACAGGTCAAGCGTGCAATGGATTAGGATGAAACAGGTTCTCGAAAGAGCAGCCTTTGAACTGCACCTCGACCGGATTCCTTGTGAGGCCGTTTACGACCCTTTCATGGTCAATAGTTAACAGAATCCCAACATCGGGTTTTTATCCGGTGGTTTTTATCTTAATGCGGTCAGCGGCCAACAAAATGTCGACATCGGGTTTCTGTTCGGTTATCGCTTGTCTGTGTAATCTCTTAACCATAGAGAACAGCTCGTTCGACACGTTTATGTGAAAGAGAAGAAGGGCTACGTGAAAGTTCGTTCCCTTCCCTGTTGTTTTTTTAGGTTTTTGTAATGAAATAGCACGATTATAATGCGTTGTTCGTGCGGGGGGGGGGCATTTTGCACTTTAGTAGCTTCACTATTCCTATCTACAATTCTCACTCTGGTGAAACTGTGACCTCTTGTAAAGATGGATGCTGGACTGGATGATGCTCGTCGAGCCAACATATTGAAACCTTCAGAAGAAGGATCCCTGCGTCGACACGTCGATTGCAAGCAACAAAAGTGCAAAATGCACCCGCCCGTCGCAGACCGGCCCCCCTCCCATTTTAACATCGTTTGATTGCTCATTTCCTTGTAAACCTTTTGATTTGTAACTTACCCGCAATTGCTTGGAGATGGAGCTGTCTCAGGAACGGCTTGGCCTGCTACCAGTGCACGGATGGTCTGCAGGGGAAATATAACCTCTATGACTCTACACTCTTCTAACGATGTACCCTGTGCTCACATGAGTGCAGTAACTTCTACGTTTAGGGTTGGTTTTGGCTCATTATGACGAAAGTGCCTCCTCATTTCACTGTTGAGCCGTTGTGAGACAGCATTTGTTTGACAGGACTTCCTGTACAAGGTAGCTTGTGCAACCTGATCTTCTACACTTTTCCTCCACGTTAGCGCTCGAGTATCGAGAAAATCAGGTCTCAAGGGACGGACCGCATGACCTATGCGGGAAAGTGCGGGAAAGGCAGTGCGATTTACAGTGAAGAACTTCGTACCACTTTCTAGGTGGAAAGTTGTGAGGTGGAAGGGGAATGAGCTGAGACGTAAGGTTTCTCTAGTGGAACCTCCTTTTGTAATATTGCCATGTAATATTGCCTGCTTTGCCACGCGGTTGATCGTTGAGATTTATTCGAACCTCAAACTTGGGTAATTAAACATAAAGAGAACATAAGGATTAAACGAACATATACACTACGAATTCTAGAAACGATGAGGAAATCTCAAGAGCATATTTCTATGAAACTACTAAGCAATGGTAGAGCAAAAATAAATGTAAGAGACAAGGAAAAAATGCACCTGATCCTACAATGCACCCAAGCGAATCGAGCGTCGGCGCTTCCTCTTTTATGCGGACTAAGTATGTTTTCCTACGAAAGAATGTATACATTATGCGTTGTTTCCTGAGAAAATCTACCATTTCAATCAGATAAGGAGGAAAGGAATTCAAGCAACTGTAAAGCATGGGAAAACAGTTACATCCTAAAAGCGAAAGGATATACATGAAACTAAAAAGCATGACTCATTCTAAGCTATATTTGATCACAGTTGTGATAGACTCCGCCTCCAGACTCCGCCTTCAAGATTCGATCTCCGGCGAAACGATGCTACCAGTGCGTAGCATGAAGTTGAAGCTTCGTAACATGATTATAAGGTTTACAAAGAATCAGCGGACAAGACTCGTCCCAACGGGCCGTTTTTTTTGCCTTGAGCTCGTACCACTGCGCTAGAGGAATCCTATTAGAGGGTATCAAACGTCGCCTTTTGCCTTTCGTTTCAGTGTTGAGTCACTTAGCGACTTCTCTTCCACATCTTAACAACACCGCCGTTTCCTATCACGAACCGTGCCTTCACGACAGTTCAAGTTCAAAATAACTATACAAAATTTTATACGAAGATGTTTGCGGAAAAATCGAAAAAAAGAAAAAATGGAAAAAAGAAAATTTGTTAGAGTAGTACCCAAATCGTGTACTTTTATTACAAGAATCGGCGCAGTTTGGTTAGGAGGGTACATTTTGCACTGTTGCTACTTCCCATCAAGTAAAGATTTGTGCAATCTTGTAATGCTTAGAAGTTATACCAGTCAAAATTTGCAGAGACCTTTTGCCAACAACTTGTAATAGTAGGTGTCAACTTTTGCAAAGCAATGAACACGACGACGGTAAGTAATGAAAGCGTAGAATGTACTCCTCCCCTGCCCAAGCCAGCCGATCCGAACCCGTATTTTTCATACAAGCTCTCATTTTACTTCTAAACGCGACTGACTGACATCTTTTTCAGATAATCAAGAAATGCTCTCTGTCAGCATAGCAGTATTCAGTATTTTCGCTGCTCTGTGGCCGGTTAGCGCCCAACGTCGAATCATTCCAATGGAACGGCCGCCAGACTTGCCGGTGGAGACTAATCCGTTTGCTTCGAATCTTCGGCTTCCAACCGAATGGCCTCTCCCAGCCACTGCTAAACCACCGTTGCCACCCGTATGGAATTCTGATGTTCCCTCATTCTTGCGGTCTCACAAGAATGACGAAACTGTATTTACTACACGACCACCACCACTCTTCACGCCCCCACCACTTATTGCCCTTCCACCGGCATTTTCATCACCATTTCCTCCCATTGTTCAGCCACCACTTTTCACACCTTCACCCTCGAAAATTGGCCAGCCTCCACTGCCACCCCTTTTTCCTCCACCACCACCTCCTCCATTTCCGCTTTTGACCCCTCCACCCCCTCCAGCTGCTATGCCTAAATACTCACTACCAGTGCCGTTTTCGATGGCACCGACTTCTAACACCACAATGAAGCCAATCAATATCGATCCGGAAGCGATTATGAGCGTGGTGAGCTAATTCTTCCAATTTTTTGTTTCAACAATCTCATTGATCTCTTAGACTTTCAGCCCGAAATTATTCGTCACTGGGGATATCCTGTGGAAGTGCATCACGTCGTAACAGCTGATGGCTACATTCTGACGTTGCATCGCATTCCACATGGGAGAAGTGAGTTCCACGGTTCAGGGAAATCTACTCTTACCTGAATGATCTACAGCAACTCGTAAACAAGACAGAAGAACAAAAAAATAGCCAAAAGGTTGCATTCCACCGGAAACCTTCCTTTCGGTGAGAAGAGAGGGCCGATCTCGCTCCTGAGCTTACGTCACATTCTCTCCATTGTCCACATTTTTTGTTTTCTTGATTGCGTTCCTGAATTCAAACCTTAATCAAATGCTCGGAAGGTGCACGGTACGGTGAAACGGTACGGTGAAAAGGTCAGGTGCATCTGTGCCTGCCAACAAACGCTTATGCACAACACTAACATTTTAGTGGGCCATATGGCCACGTTTATGGGTGCAATTGGGCGGAAAGCATAGCATGGCAACGTTCTTGGAGATAGTTTTTTTATGTACTATACAATATGATGTTACAACCATGTGGCATAATGACATTCGTAAGCAGGGCACATCATTGGTTGGGGATTTTGGTGAAGCCCGTACGACCCCCCCCTATACATAAACTTATGAAGTTTCTTCCCCCCCCCGAGGAGGAAGAAACTTCATAAGTTTATGTATAAGTAAGCGCGAAAAATGGAAAAAGTAACAATCCTGAACGAGGCCCCCCTCGCTTTTTGCTCATTTCTATCCTGATTCAGAAAAGAGAATAGAAAAGAAAGGCCATTAGGTTTCACCCACCTTTCCTCGAGTCAAAACAAACTCTGGTACCTGAATCAATTGCAATTAAAAGAAAAAAAACAGGAAATTAAGCCAACTTCTCCTAAAAGCACTCTGAGCGGTCCAAGCAAAATTGCTGGGGCGCGCTCTGACGCGTATTCGAGTAACTGAGAAGAAGATAAATATTCGATATTCGACGATATTCACGACCCACGGCCGCAAGGGGGTTGCAGGTGGTTTGATTGGAGCGCGGATTTTCAGTAGGGTGTTTTAAAGGGCCATAACTTCCTTAATAGCGGACCTGTGGGAAAGAAAGAACGCAATCGTATAGAGAAAGATTTGAGCTTTCCAAAACATACTGACATGTTCATAAAGGTCGCCAAATTCATAGAGAAAATTTGCGTTGGGGAGTTTTTGGGGAGTTTTTTGGATAGTTTGCAGCGCGAGTTTTACAGGTTTGAACCAAGATATTTCCCTTGAACCTCAATAGTTTGGGAATCTGAAACCAGCGTTGAACTCGAGAAGACTTTCTCTTTCCAAAAACTACTTAAAGGCTGAGCCCGCATTCAAACTTGATGAGTTATGCGGCTCAATTACTTGTAACAAGGTAGCAACTAATCCCATTAGTGAAGAAAAA